CTTATATTTTTGAATAATATATAGCAAGACAAATAACAGTTAAGATTAAATATTCTTATTAGATAAAAACTTACTATAATTACTTACAATAGCATTTATTTTCGATTTAATTAAACTTTTTAATTAATTTACTTTAGAATTAATCATAAAATATTTATGTAGACAACTACCAACATCAAATTATTACTATTTTTATAAAGATGTATTGAAATATATTCTATAATGCTTATGATATTAAAAATAATTAATGATTTTAAAACAATTTAAAAATTATCACTTAATCAAAAAATTCATAAAAGTATACATTTTGTTGACATTCTATTCACAAATTAATGACAAAATTATTTCACGTTGGTGCTTTAGTATTTATAGTAACACTAAACTACAGAAATAAATTTATAATGTTGCCAATTTTTGACATTCAAATATTTAATGTCATAATAACAAAATGAAACCAATAAGTTATTTTTACTGATATTTAATTAGGTAGATACCATTGTTTTAAGAATTTTAGCTAAAATAAAAAAATAGATAAATGTATTAAATAATTTAAAACCGTTTATTAAATAGGTATTTAAATATTTTATAATATGAATTATGATAAACATAGGTTCAAACTCATTATTGCATACAAAATGTTTCATTAAAACGAATTCGCAAAATATATATTATATATTTAAAATTGTTTTTTAATGAATTTTGTTTTAAAAATAATATACATTACCTACAGTAGTCATGCCTATATCAATTCAATTTGTATGCTTCGTTCAAATTTATTACATTTTTGCAAAATTTTTTTTTTCACCTAAAATCATTTAAATTTTACAACGTAAAATACTTAATTTAATACTTAGTATTAAATGTAATACTTTGTATATAGAGTTTAAATTTTTTTACTTTTGTCTTTTGATTGTTAGGCAAAATATGATAATATGTTTGGACCATTTTTATATGTATCTACATATCTACATGAGAAATTATGTACTTTTAAAAAGTTTTAAGTTTTAACTAATTAATTTTTTTTTTTTATATTGTGAATCATGCATAAAAATACAACTATGCATATATGCATATCATAAAAAAATAAAAAAGGCATTTTAACACATTTTAATAATTCATAATTCCATAAATCATAACGAATACATTTTTATTTTTAAGCATACCAATGCATTACAGACAATTAATATGAACGTATTCAAATCAGAAATATACTTACAATTATGGGCATCTCAGTATTTCCTTACATTATATCTTAGATATTGCTGTCGATTTTTTATCAAGTGTTATAATATATCTTAACCTCTACAGCCTTCATATATGATTTTTTTCTCCTAAAATATGTACCTTCAAACTGCTTATTGTAAAAAACATCATAGCCATAAGAAAAATATAAAAAAATAATCTAAACTTCTCTTAAAATTTAATCTAAGTATAGTTTAATTAATAATAAAATAAAATAGAAATATAATATTTCAATAATTACATTTATATATATATATATATAATATACTATGGAAAAATAGAAATATATGTTATTGAAAAAGTATTAAAGAGTATTATAGAGTAGATGATGATGTTAATGCAAATAAAATAGGAAAATTCATCAGTAGCGCGCCATCTGTCCAGTAAAATACAATTTAAAAAAAAATCCTTATCAAAGATGGGTAAAACAAAATATAAAAAGCAGTAGCCCAACCAATTATATAAAAATTATAAGCAAAAAAAATAGATTTCTTTCTTATGAATTTGTTTATTTGAACAAAATGATTAGAAGCAATAAGAAATGTGATATTTTAGAGCGTATTGAACTATTGATTTTACAAAAATTAAAACGGTTTTTCTGGTCGAATTTTGGTCAAACGACTATTATTCTAAAAATATTATTGATACGCAAATTATTATAATTCAATAATGCATGTTTCATATTATATTACACTACTACACTGTGTATGACCTAGATATGTGAATTAATGAATTATTAAATACTTATTCATAATGTTTTTATCAGATTGATAATCTACGAAGACGCCTCGTTATAAAATGTATCTCTATCGCACAAACTGTATGTAACATAAACTATAAAGCATATAATGGTCAAAATTAGCGTAGTGCTATTGGCTATTGCTTATTGATTTTATATTTGTTTGTTCAAAAATAATTAATTATATTGAATGCTCGGCTATAAGCCTATAAAGCTACAATGAAACGTCTTACAATGGCCACTGAAATTTTATGTTCAAAAAATGTCTGATGTTGTAACATTAAATCTGATAGTTGAACGACTGTTGAATGCCGATTTTATATACATAATTTTTGACAATGAAATATGATTCTCTTTGCCATATTAATATATTATAATTTATGAGTTTTAAATAATTCTGGAACTATACCTAAACTACAAATCTTATCTAGTCTTATTAAATTTCCACTTGAAAAATAATTTTTATAAGTCACATATCAATATCGTTAATTTTTTAATATTTTGATGGATATATATTTATAAATTTGCATTTTACCTAGAAACGTAGTGTTATACTAAAAGCCAGAAAACAAAATTGATTTTGAAAGAATTAAATTATCATAATAAAATAAATAGAAATACAACAAAGGAAGAACAACCAAATTTAATGTCGTAAGCCTGTATCACAGACACATAATATTAAAAAAAAAAAAAATAGTTTTTACATTAATAATTAATAACTATGTATTATTTATTAATGATTATTGTGTTATAAATTTAGTCTATACTCGTATATTTTATATTTTATGCTTATTTTTTTTAAAAAATTGTTTTTTTTTTTTTAAATTATAACATATTATTAACATTAATAATTACAATAATGTGGCCTAATACCCTTTTAAAAATGTATGTTTTATCCGTGGCCCAATAAAATGTAAAAAAATATTAAACACAAAGCAGGTAAATAAAATGTAGCCCAGTTGGCAATATTATCAACCTGCAGTAACGCGAGATTCGTTTTATTCGATTCCTTATGATTTTTTTCCATGCAATAAAATTATTATTTTCGGCGGTAAACAACGTTATTTTTATCGCATATATTTTAATATTAATATGAATACGCACATAGGTGTGTTTCCCCACGCATTGAACAGTTGATCTAATCTATTCCGTTCCACAAACTTCAGATGTCTGCGTATCCGATCTATATTTATAAGGATAATAATTAAGCAAGTCGTATAATACCTATAATCCATGATTTATTGTTTATTTGTGTGTACATAATGTATATAAATATATATATATTATAATGGGCTTCCTTTGGAAACCAGAATATTTTTTTTTTTTTGGCTGACAACATCGACAGCTCAGCAATAAATATAGCGGTGGGAATAAAATCGAAAGACGAACCTAACCTTTAACGAGTAACGGACTATATATAGGATTCGTGCCAGCCCATTATTATCGACGACGTAATCCAAAAGTATGAGAGAAAAAATCAACAAAGCTTTAATGGACCAAAATATAATTCTATTTTTAAAAGGTTTAATTAAGCCTCCAAGCTCCAGGAACACAATATAGTGATCTATATTATTGAGATTATCATTTATAGTATTGTAAAAAAAAATAAAATTTATTCTGAATTTAAATTATGTTACACTTTGAGTTTAAAATTTATGATAAATATCGAACACGAACATCGATTATAAGGCATCAATAATAGTTTCATACTTTTTGTTACATTTTCCCCATACTTTGGAACGGTTTTATTAAGAAACATTTCCACAGAAAGAAATAACTTTGTATACTTTACAAAAAATTTTTGAGCACTCCTTTTGCTCTTTAAAATGATGATAGTAATAAAAATCAAATTCAATAGTTATTAGGTGATTATAATACAGCAACCGAATATTCTTAAAACCTGTCTAAGCAGTAGTGGGGAGTTTGTGTCATCATTACGGCGGTCATCAGATGCTCTATAGATAGTGCACCAGTCCAACCCTACTAAATCGATCCAAAACATTGAAGTATACAATTTTATTATAATCGCAATTATTACCGTGCGCGCTTATATAATAATAATAATAATTTATTGGCATTGTTTTTTTTTTAATCTTATTTTATCATTTGGACGCGAAAATCCACCGTCATGTAAAAACCGAAACGTCTGTTTGTCGTGCGCGCCGACTCTAAATTTAAGCACAAAACATCCTTGAGCAAACTATGGAAATCGACGATTTAAAAATAAATGACCCGCTAGCGGACATGCCTAAGTTTCTCGTGTTTTACATTATAATATTATCGCCTATCGTTTCATCAGACGTTGCTTTCTACCGTTTTACTTATTTCGTGTTAACATTATAAAACCTGAATTTTCGACAACTATCATCAAATTATATTACAGGTAGCTTATCAACTTTTTTTTTGTTTTTTTTTTTTTTAGTTCATCTATTTACCTACGGTAAGAACTCTTCTGTATATCAAACTTTTAAACCGTAAGGACAACGCACACGTCAATATTTTTAATAAAGGAGACGATACGTTCTAGGTAATATTATCAGCGTTTAGTCGTCCCTAATATTGGTCATCGGATACACAAATTGCGCCACTATAACTGATGATTATTTTTATTACATTTTTAGTTTTTATAATTTAATCAAAGTACACTGGTTTTAGATGGACAAGAATTACTTTCAGTGCGTATTTTATTACGTTTAAGTGCATATTAAAACATGAAATGTTGTAAAATATATGAAAGTGAAAATTTCTTATTCTACTGTGACAGTTATAAATACCGTTATCATAGAACTTTAAATAATAATATTCAACGCTGAAATCAATATTGAAGCAAGGACTCACTATATCAGTGATATACCAATGGCTACAATAGTTGTGTAAGGAAAATAATGCTTTTGCTTCGGAGGAATATTCGTTCAGTCTTTCAATGTCTTCGGGACATAATTTGAATGGAAAACAGGATGTCTGAACGCAATATTCATTTGCAGTATGAATAGTGCCATGTTACGGGTACGCGACGTACCTGAGGATTCGTGTCCGTCTCCGCCAGTCGTCTATTCCTTATTTTCAGTTCTTGTCCGCATCGACATGATGTATTTATATTATTATCACGACCGGTTCGCGTTCGCACTCGCGAACCCGGAATAATCGACGACGGCGACGATTTTCCGGTGTTCGATGTTTGATCAATATTAGGTATTAATTATTATAGTAATTATCGTTTGGCAAACAGTGGAAGTACGTGTACGCGCACACGGGTTTTCGGACCGAATCTCTATACGCGCGTGAGAGTACGTCCACGCCCGTCGAGTGCGAAACCGCGTAGAGGGGATCGGTTTTACATGCGCAGTTTCCACAGCGATATTGCTTGCGATTTGTATCACGCAGTTGGGCTATTTTAAAGTTTTTGTTGTAGTTTATTTTTTATTTCACTTTTTTCGTTTCGGGGTTTTTTTTTTAACGAATTTTATTTTGACAACTTCCTTTCATTTATACGAGGCGTATACATCATGTTACGCGCGTTTGCCAATATTTTTTCTCTTACCACCTTTCACCGTTTTGCCCACATACGTACGTACGTAATTATAATTATTATCATTATTATCATTATTGCTACAAGTTATGTTAAACACTCTCACGCATTAAAAGACACAATATTTTTGTTTATTACGGATTGAGTAAGGGAAAAGATTTAATTTTTCGGTGTGTAAATATAATTAAAAGTTGACTTGAAAACGAATTGCATGTTAATATTCAACGTCTCGAACGCTTAGGATATAAAATATTATTTTTTATTTGGTTCATAATGTTTTATAACGTTCAGTATAAAATATAACAATTTCCTAACATTAACAATATTTTTTTCATAATTCTCATAAAGTGTAAAAAGTAAAAATAATAATTAACAATAAAATAATATAAATATTGAGATTAAACATGTTTAAATTTTAAACATTATGGACATATAGCATATTATGGAACGTTGTCTTTTTCCATATAGCACTTATCAGAGCCGTGTGTATATCTCGGCCTATGAAAGTTCAAAGTTCAATGTATATATATATTTATATATATACAAAAATCAACATAAAATCAAATCCTGTCCCAGATTTGTGTCTTGAAGAATCTGAATAACAAAAAACCAAAAACCGGTACGGACAATTTCTCGTCCTTACACATGTATAGCCAATAGCCGAACAAGGCCAATGACAGGTTGCCGAATATCTTCAAATACGGAATCGCGTTGGGCTCGGGCACATTCGGCTGATGTAGCACAACGGCCGACAGCCATTCTATGGACGTCGCCGGATTTTCAATGACTTCCGGTTGTTCGGACATTGTAGCCAATGAAAAATCACCGGTATCGTCAAAGTATTCATCATTCGCACAATCTTCGTCGATGTCGTTGTCGTTATCGTCTTCATAGTTGTCTCGCAACCCAGCTTCAAATGTAACGACTGGTTCGTCACAATTTTCTATGGCAGCAGCCATTTTCAACTGTTCGAAGTCCAAATATGTTTTGGCTGCAGGTTTCCTACTCACTCCACTGTACTGTTCTACAATGTCACCGTAATGTCTAACCGCAATCATTTCGGCGGCAGCAGTGGCATCAGAGTCAGTGCAACAGTCAGAGTTGTCTTCGGTACCAGTATCGGCAGTAGTGACTGGAATTTGAATCGTATCTCCTCCGTTACTGGCTGCACAGACATTTTTCGAATCTCGCATCGGAGACTTCTTCCGAGACACGTGGTCATCATATTTATCACGGTCAGGCCCGTTTGATTGTTTGCTTAAAAACGGTGGTATGAAAATCTTCTTTAGCACAGACTTGGGGCTACAATCGTTCATCTCCGTGACTGTAATGACTGGAAGCGTCTGTCTGATACCACTACCAATGCCAAGTTCCCTTTTCGGTATTTCGGGTGGTACGATACCGGTTGTATCTGACGATAATCTAAACTTCACCATGTCTGTATTCTCAGACACAGCATAATTTTCCTTGTAGAATGGATTTGGTAACATTACGTACTTGGGGATCCCGTCTCTTGGTCTATAAGTACTATCCACTAGTGTCTCTATCGTGGTTATCTCAGCTGTGTCCGATTTGTTCTCGTCCGGTCGAGAGTATTCATTGCTATCAACCGACCCATTAGAATAATTTAATGAGTCTTGAGACATCGAGTCAGACTGTTCCGACGTCTCTTCTGCGGACTGCGGTGTTGACTTCGTCAGCGACAGTCTTCGATCGAAATTTTCAGAACTTTTGGTAGCCGAAGTCGATGGTTCTTCGTCGACATTTTCTACCCGTTGGGCAGGTGATTTTGATCGTTCCTTGTCCGATAGTTTCTGATCTGACATGTAATCATCGTCATAATATACTGTTGAAAAGAAGGCGCTCGACGTATTGTGTTCTAACGCTCGTTTTCCACTTCCAAAGTTGGTAAACTTTTCTTCCGACCTGTCTGACATACTATAATCATCGTCTGATTCTACTGACATTTCAGATTCTACACCAGATAACGAAGTAGACTGTTCCGTTTCGTCATCGTCAATTGTTTCTTTAATGTTTTCTGAGATTTCTTCTTCTATACTGTTCGCTAATGACATAAAACTACTTGCATTTAATTTTTTAGAAATATCGATGACACTATGAACTGAATCTGAATCACTAAAAATTGATTTTTCTTCGGAACCATCATTTGATCTTCTAGTGATAGGCGATCGCCTTAAACTATTTTTCCTATCCATAGCATAAATCGCAATTTTTTGAGCTTCGGATGACAAATTTTCATTTTCTGAATAACCATTGAACCTATTTAAGTTCCGTTCATAGAGAAGTTCACTAGAACTGTAAGAGTTCCTTATCTGTTCTTCAAAACCTTCAAACTCTGCGCCTAATTCTGGAGATGATAATGAAATGGGTGGAGCTGACCCTCGTTCGAAATTTAATTGTGAAAGAGAGTCTGTTGAATTTCCTAAAAAAAAATACATATAATTTCAATGAGTATAATATTACAATATTATAATATTGATAATTTATGTCATATGCATACTTTTTATTTTACAATTCATTGATTTTGTTTGAGAGTTCATTAAATCTTCATTACTTATCCTACCATTATTTGTCTTTAACCCAGGAGGTAAACCCCAATGGTCCTTTTGTTCAATTGGTTGTTGAAATGTCTCAATAGATTTGTCTAAAAAACTAAAAGATTTATAAATATCCACCTCTGAGTTATTTAAATCAGTCTTTGACTTTTTTTTCCGTCTCTTTGGTACAGGAGGCGAAACCTCATCTACGCTTAATTTCCTCGCTTTAGACAACGGTTCCGGAGATTTCGATTTACGACCAAAATTTTCTAACATTTCCGTTTCTTGAATTTTTATTAACTTTTCTTCATCTTCGAACAAAAGAGGTACTTTGTCAACTGGCTTGTATATACTGTATAAAAAATGCACGAATATAAAATAATATTCCTTCTAGTTACATTATATTTTGCTTATAACATATAAAATGTTAATTTACCCTCGTTTGATATCTGGTAAGAATATTGGTTCAGAAACTTCGCTCGGTAGACTCATACCATATGGATTTTCTGCTTTTACTCGAAATCTGTACTCTGAACCTTCGAGTAAATCGTCAAGATCTGCTGTAAGTTGTCTACTGGTTGACGCTTTTAACCACATATCCCATCCAACCTGAGAACCATAGTGTTAATTATTAAAATATGATTAATTGAACAAGTTTAACATCATATTACTCTATTATACTCAATTATATAATTTCCAATTTTACAGCCTCCGTCATCTTCTGGTGGCTTCCAGGAGAGTGTTACAGATTTACCTGACGTTTTTGATACATGCACTTTACCTGGCTGTGAAGGTCTATCTAAAAATAAAATAAAACTCAAAATTAAAATTATTAGTTTAATATTATTTTATACTATTTTGTTCAATAAACGTTTTACATACCCGTTACAGTAACCAAAAATGAAGCCATATGTTCACCCAACGGGTTTACTGCTTGAATTTGATAGCACCCTCTATCTGATCTCTTAACACATGCTAATTTTAAAGCGGCATATTTATCTGTATGAATTACTTCAAACCTATAATTTCATAAATATGTTTTGTGATTACATGATTATAGTTAAAATTCAATATTATTAGATATTATATTTTTTTAATTGTCAATATTAGTATTTGTTGTATTGAAATCGGTAAAAATGTATATTAAAATAAAAATATATGAATTGAATAACTTCAGATACTTTAAGTTACCCTTCATCAGCCCATTTAATTTTAACAAACCGTAAAATTATCAAAAATATATAATGTGTACTGTTCATATAATTTTTTTAAATTTAAAATATTTTTTTATTATTTTTTATAAATTATATAATATATGCAATCTGTAAAACTATATTTACAATAAGAATATGAGCTATGAATAAAAAATAATAAATATTGCATGCGAAAATAAGTAACCCAGCAGTTACATTAAAATTAATTTCAATTATATATTCAAATATAGTTACTATTTATTTATGGACGGTGAGAAAATGTTTAATTGTATCTTCAAACATCTATGTCACAAATTATTAACTTAAACAGTTTAAAATTAATTTTACCTATCACCACCCCGTATTTCTTCGCCATCGTGAATCCAAGTAACTTGTGGTAACGGGCGCCCGGAAACTGATACTTTTAATCTCATTGGTTCATTTTGTTCTAAGAGTAAGCCATCTTCATAGTCTTGTGGTAAACGAACCATGGGTGGTGCTAAAAAAACAATTTCACGTTCAAACGATTATTATCATCACAATGTCACACACCTATTGTGTCATCACACTTAATTTTATTATTTAGTATATTATAATTATCCTAAAATTTACTGTAATGATTTTATAATTATTGTTAATGAATTAATTGATTAGTCGTTCAGCTATGGTTTATATTTTGTATGACAAAACATCTTTTTCTATAATGATGGACAGTAGTTATACTGAATCTATTCAGTAGTCCTAATGCATTTATTCCCATTACCTTCGAGTCTCAATCTAGCCTTAGTTATAGCGTGACCAGCTCTGTTTGTAGCTGAACATTTTATTTCTCCTTCGTCCGAATACTCAGCCTGATGGATGTATAATGTACTCATGCCATTATCAGTGTTCACCCTTTGTCGTCTATTGCTGAACAGTTCAAATCCATCTTTGTACCAACTGATTTTCGGCGTCGGCGTGCCCTCAAACTCCACTTCGAATTTTACCTTAATACGTGCTCCATTAATATGTGTCGAGTACAAAATATTATAATTTACTATGACATACTGGTGAATAATTAAAACAATTCATCTATTCATATAATTATAAAATGTATTATATGAGTTGGTCTTATTTTTAGGGTTCATAACAGATGTAAATAGACAGATTACTAAATAATGCAATTATATGCACTTTTGAGAGAGAGTGGATGTAAATAATTAATGTTACATAAAAGCTTAATTTAAATATTATAATAATTGACGACTACTTATATGAGTAGAAAATATGTAAATAAGAGCAGTGAGAACATTTTTTTTACATACCAAATAAATAGGTATGTGTAAAAATGTGTGTTAACTGCATATGCTCTCAAAATTCCTTGTGTGCCACTGGTATACAATAGATAAATTCTAAATAAATTCTAGACATTCTATTAATCATATCTGAAGAAAATCAAGTAATAATTTGAGATTGATACAATTGAAAATTAACATTTAAGTATTATTTAAAACATAAATTAGGTATGTTCTAATGCACTTAAATCAAATTAAAGCACGTTGAATACATGGCAACAATTTAAAAATACTATTTATATTTCACAGGTAAAATGTCGTACTCGAGCAAAATGTATTTGAATTAAAGAAGTTTCTAAAAATATTTTTTTATAAGAATTTTCAGGGTATAACAATATAAGAACTACCTAATATAATCAATTTATGTAATAACTTTGATTAAATATTTAATATTATTATAATAATTATTTATTTATTTATTTATTTTTTATATAAATAATATCTAATTTAACAACAATTATTGCATAGTTATTTATATTAGCAGATCTTTAGGGAAGACGGTTTTTTAGAAAGATCGAAATATTATAAAGTTCACAGACCTGATCGTTTTCTAACGCTACGCGGTCTTCTATTCCACAAACGAAAACCGGTGCCACGACTGCCGTCCTGTGAACAGTCATCGTGACCGGATCTGAAACGATGCTCGGTGGCGATTGTCCGAATGCGTTGATGGCTTTTACTCTGAATTGATAACGCCATCCTGGTTCGAGGCCACTCAACGTCAACTGATTGTGTAGAACTTTTCCCGGCGTGGCTTTGACCCAATGAGGCGAAATGGTCCGACGATGCTCGACAATATATCCTAAAAATCAGTAAAAATCATATTATTAACAACCTATAATATAGAATCAGTATGATAACGAAATATGTGTCTCTATGAATTATATTTGAAATTTTATCACTGGGCACAACTAGCACAAATAATATAACACTATATTTTGGTCATTTACTCCGTAACAATGTTATCTGCCGATGAATAAAAATTCAGATATATCTCATCTATCGATACACACCAACTAAGCACAATAAAGGTTCATTTTAAATACTACTGGCGAAATATCTATTGAGTTTCTTTACTAAAAATGTAACATTAATATATTGTATCATGAATGTGTTTCTAAAAAAAAAGTGCACAACCAATAGACAATTATTATAATACAGTTATAAAGTAATGAAATTATGACTAATGGCTTATAACGATTTTATATTTTTATAAAATGTTATATTTTAGTATTTATTTGTGTATTATTTATATATTTAAGTAATACTACTCAAAAAATAAAATATATGTGATCCACAGCCAAAAATATGACTTTCAAGTATATGTAATAGGACTTGTATGATATTTATAAAAAAATGAACACGTAATAAAAATTAACAAAACATTTATAGTCTATAATATATATTTACAGTAATAAAACTGTGTATTATATAATTTTTAAATTATTAATCATGTGAAATTTTTTTAGTAAATCTTCACCCATTTATATACCTACTTAACATTTAATGTAATTTTTACCATGTAATCTATGAATATATATTACAAATAAAATTGTTTGATGCATATAATTAATATGTGTTTATCGAATCAATCTTTACTCCTGTACATTCTACATTTAATAATATAAATAAATATATAGTAATAATTTACCTAAATTAACATCACAAAATTGAATATACTCTATTAAGGATTTAAAAACAAATTGATTTATCTATCTATAAATTGTATAATTCATAATCAAACCGAAAATAAACTATTTTGATTTTATTGATTCATAATATAATATTTAAACCTTATGCCTACTTAAATGTTTAACTATCTTGGTTTAGCATTTATACCATAAAAACGATTTATATCTTCATTTATTTTATATATTATATTATATAAATACATTTTGAAATATTAGGTACGTATTTTGACACCGTTTTATTTTTATTATTATTTATTAATTATTAATTCTATGTTAAAGATATCGGCAAGGGTTAATGACACGTGTACAACACTAAGTTATTATTAATAGAAATTCCAGTAAAACGTTACACATAATACGTTTCATCCTACATTTTGGCACCGGAGAATATAAATTTCATGTGAATGAACTTTCTCGCTATTTATTTTGTAATCATAATTTTTTTTGTAGGTTCTGTAAAGTGTCTTATTAAAATATCATAGTAAAATTTTTTAAATGTGATTTGAATAATAAAAAAATATTTCGTATATTACGGTTGTGGAAAAATGTCATGCCTTTGAAGCACAGCTATAGTGTTTTGAAGATGTACGGTAGGTAACAATAAAGAATGTCGAATCTAGATTACACTAAATTTATCAAACATCGCGATGTTCAGTAAGACAAAATAAAGTATATGTACATATTGTACATACATAGGTACATTTTAAGTTATATTAGAGTGATATCGTGTTGTGCAATTTTACCTGTGATTTTCGAACCGCAGTCGCGAGCCGGTGGTTTCCACTTGACTGTTATCACATCCGGTTCGTCCGCCGGATCTGCGACCACAAGGTACGGTTTTCCTGGCGCGGATGGCGGGCCTGCAACAAAACGTACACATGTGTACAGACGAAAAGAACAAAAACATCGTGTACTAAAATCACATCTTTTGTGTTAACTATAGATCCGGATAGTGTTAAGGCGCGGTGTCGTGGGCGTACGTTAAAATATTATGTTTGAACATAATTTAACAAGGACATTTACATGCGTAGGATATATCATTATAATATTATACGTAGGTGAAAAGTATACCGGAAGTGAATCTCTCAGAAGACGATGACGACGACAGATGGTCTCGCGAACTAGCCGCACCATTGTACTGCAATTTATGCAGTTTGCCGTGCGACGAAGACGAATTGCCCATGGTGCACTGCCATCCAAAGTGTTCCGTGGAGCCGGTCTGATCGGACGCACGCGGAGACGGATACGCGGAACGAACTTGCGCAATACAATAGAATAAAACAATATTATTATAATACGACAAAATTATCGGCGAAGAATATTGTACACGGTTTGCGGTATCTGGTATACTATTCTTGTGTAATTATATTGTGTGTGTATAATCGCCGTTTGGTCGGTCACGAGAGCGGCGTGCGACGGTTCGGAAGTCTGACATACGAATATTAACAAAAATAGAACGTACACACAGCTGCTGTCGGGTCTAGCCGGTGCCCGTGGACCTGCTGCGCACTGTACGTTTTTCACACTCGACCAACGCAGCGGTACAGGCGTCAGGCGTCGTTTTTTTACACGTTATGATTATTATTATTATCATCACTATTTTATCATAATTATTTATTATTATTATTATTATTGGTATTAAATCATTTGTATTATATGATTATTTTAGTATTACTATTGTTATGATTATTATTGCTATAATAAATACCGTGGTGTGACGAAGAAAGCACTGCAGATGTAGACGTCACAGTAACGATAGTAATGGCCGAAGGAACATGGAAAGTTGCCACAATTTCAAGAGATGAGCTGTGAGAAGAACGCATTTAAATTGTTTTTACATAAATTGACGGACGTATCTGAAGTGTTAGAATCTCTGATAAAACTTGATGACGGGAAATAAGCCTCACGTCTTTAAAAACGCTTACACACACACACACACACATTTCAGTGTAACTACAATTTAAATCACAGTTACTCCCTTACGGAATGCATTGATGAATAAATATTATGCTATTATCATTAAAACAGGGTTTCATCCACATAGTATTTATAATTTAATTTACACTACATTACAATAAGAGCTCTTTTCATAATATTATTATTAGGAATAGGATTATTAATGACTTTAAAAAATGTGGAAATTATCAAAAAAATAATTTAGAATTGATTTAAATATCACAGAAAACTATATATTAAAATGCATTTATTTTAGATTTAACAGTAAAAACAAAAATATAAACATCAATTTTATGTTTTTATATTTTCAAAATAATTCATAGCCTATTTTGTCTTCCGACTTTTAGACGGAAATAATAAAAATAAAAATAAATAAATGCATTAATTAATTTTATTAACAAAAATTTGAATGTATGTTTAACAGTGTACACTGATGTACCTGTTACATATGAGTAATGAGTGATGCAGACGATGGACGATGTTAGCTTAATAAAAATCGCCCACCAAAAATAAATGGTGGTCTCAGTAATCAAAGTCATTTGCATCAAAATACTAACCCTAATTATACTTTATAAGTTATAAATTATAACCAATTCGGTAATACCTATCATATTTTCAATAAACCTATCATATTATATTCAATAAAACATAAAATATTTAATTATTAGAGCAGTTTGTATGTTATGAAATAATATTATTAAATATGTAACTTCTTAATTTTTTAATTATATGTATATGTGTTCATAATTATATTTCTTAATTCTAATTTGAATTTAACATTTAACAATAAAATTAAAAATTAAAATAATAAAATCTGCTGGATAAAAATAAAGCTAATAATATTCACAAGAAATGCTCTAAAACTCCAAAATTCTAAAACTATCACAACACTACAAAAATATACCAGAATTTCTTATTAAATGTAAAATAAAATTATCAGCATCGCCTAAATAATCAAAACACATTTTTCATTCAATAAGTTACATTTTAATTAAGAACTAAAACAAAAAATACATTACATAAAAAACTCAGCTTTAATTATTTTTATTTATTGTTAGTTATTGCTTAAGTATAAAGTAAATTCACTATTCGAATCTCGCCTAGGCTTTTTTAAATTTTATATACCGGATCTCACGTTAGAGAGACAAATCCAAACTTAGACCATTAATCACTTATGAACATTTTTATGGCTATTGTTAGAAAATAGCTTGGCATCCAGATTTCATCCAAACGACAAACAATTTAGACAAGACAACCGTGATTAAGCACGCGATTAGTAGTTCACTATCCATGTATTAAAATGTAATGTAATATTCTAATATTAAAAAAAGGTAAACTAGTAAATTATATATTCATATTTACCAAAATTAGTATAACACATTAATAAAAAATAGATAAAAATGTAATTTGATTTTTAATTAAAAATTTATACATTGTTTAAACTTTTTATTAATTTTATTTAAAGTTTTTTTTTTTTTTAAACATCAGCTCACTTTATTTTTACCGAATAAAATTTATGAATAAATTAAACAGTATTTCTATATAATACTCCATCAATAACAAAAAAAAAAAATTGTACCAAACAAAATTCAAGTAGTTTTCATTATAATGTAATAAAATAAAATAAATTAACTTAAACAATAATTTAATAAGCTGATATAATTTTAATTAAAAATAAATAAATTAAGTTATATCAATAGTTAAATTATCTGATACTCAAAAGTAACCAATTGAGTTAAAAATTTGAGATAAAATAAAATCTTTTTAACTTGATTTTGACTCGTTAATGTCCATCCTTATTAATAATAATTAAAAAATTAAATGGTTTTAAAATAATCAGATAAACTACGCAGTCTATGCTATGCCTACCCATCTTTGCTATTTTAAACCTAAAATTTTTATTTACTTAATACTTAACTAATGCCAATATACGGGTATACTCGTATTGAGCGTTGATACAAAAATAAAGGAAATAGTAAAAAATTTATTTTCCGGCCAGAAGAAAAATATACCTATGCACGAATAAACACAAACAACATTTGTGATGACGACGATACTGTCTTCAAAAATCAAACGTATATCTGAAATGAATAAGCTGTAGTTTATTATATTCTTAACTTTTTCAAGAGCATCGAAGTTCTTAATCATCATTTGTAAAACGCAGCATAAAATTACATGACACATACATTAATTTCTGGTCGTTAATTTATTATTTTACAATTTTGTATACCCGTCTTAAAATATCATTAAGAATTCATGAAACAGCAGATGTGCAAGTCAAAGATTAAAACACTCGAAAATCGAAATGTTTATAATAATATTAATGATATATAACAATAACAATAACAATAAAATCACATGTATCTATATAAGATTTATCATATATGCTCACTATTCGTATACAAATCGAACACGTCGTGTGTGAAGTAGGTACTGAAGTATACGAAAAACGTGTCCTCTATATTTTCATATTAATATGTAATAATTTATTATTATACATTTTGTGTATTCAACTAAGTTCATGTTATTGTTTAGGAAAGTACTAAACTTGCGTTTTATCTTCCATTCCATCAATATTGTTCATTTTCGGTTGAGATGTGTCCCCTTAAAAACAATATAGACTGTAGTTAGATCTATCTAATAAATATAAAAGTGAAATTTTGTATGCATAATCGTGTGCGTGATGCACATTAAAAACAATTTAGGAAACTAAATTAGTAACACAAACAAATAAACTATTATTAAATTATATAAAAATTAAAAACAACTATTTTTATGGGAATTACAGAAACAATAATTATCATGTATTTTTATCGAGAAATTTTCCCGATTTATTTGATAAAAACCCATCGTTTTATCATATTATAATAGCATTGTTATACCTACTTAACGTATCGTTTAGTGTTTGCTATTTGTTTAATTAAATGATTTTTCAGTTCTTACAGAAAAAGGTCTTAATATTTTATGTAATTTTCGTGTGTAGATATGCAAGGTCACAGAAATTCTATTAATTATATAGTCACTAAGGCTAGGAATTTATAGCATTTGCATTTTTTTTTTCATAGGTACTTCAGGACAAAGCTTATCAAAAACAAATTTTAATTCATACGTCATAGAGTTCCAATTTATAATTTATTTTTTTTTTTTTCATTTTCTTTTAATGTTTGCAGATAATTAATACATTTTGGTACTTTTGGGTCAGTTTGGACATTTTAAGCAATTTTTTTTACATATATATTTAGTTTTTGTTTATTATATGCATAATCGAAATTCTTGGAACATTTACATACGTGTTTGTAAATTTAAAATAAAATTATTATACATTTATTTCGTGTATTTGTACATAGTGAAATGTTATCGTCTTATCAGTAAAAATTTCCGGAAAGTGAAAGAACATTATACAAAAAAAATATAATTATACATAATATGTTATTGAGTATATATACTAATTAGTAATTAGTGATTTATATAATAAACAGGTTACTATAATTTAATAAAACAAATTTTATTTTTTCACGTAGTTATAAAATAATTATGTTTAGGTATTCTATGAATTTATTAATTTGAGCATATTCATGGTAAACCACATATTGTAATTAAAATTCATATTTTTGTAATATTATCGGTAAAATTATAATTTGTAATATCTTTACTACAAGTTTTCAGTGCATCATTTTCTTAGCCCCACTTATCACATAATATAAGATTTAAGTTTTTTGATTCATGACCATTTTGCACTGGCAGACGTTTTTCGTACAGCGATACGAATTGTTCAGTACTAGATGTACAAAATATGTGTATATATATATATATAACAGTATAGACGAGAAAGAGCATAAATCGATAAAATAAATAACTATAAACGCGGCACATGGCCGTTTTCTATGGGAAAACTTCCGTTACGTTTATTTTGTTATCTTTATAACACGGTATGCCCATTAGAAGCGCTCGAGGCCACGGGTTCGATTTCTGGTGAATCGGCCGCGCAAAACCCATTTCCGCCCACGACGCGTACAATAAATAAAACCGCAGTCCCTGGCGATCGAGTGTGCAGTGCGCATTGTCTCCCTCGGCAGACTCCATTGGCTAATTATTTTTCGTCGCGCGACGGCGAAACGATCAAAGACGGCGTTCCGGCCGAAACGCCGCCATGCTACGGAGTCCTGAAACCAAAAATAGTTCTATTTATAATACATCTTCCGCTGGGTAGATCACTATAATATACTATGTGTACACGCACGTCAACCGTACACTATTGTTTAAAAGACTATACACTACGAATATAGATGCGCCACGTCGCTTTTTATATACCTATTTACCACCTCTGCACATACAATTTTACAATTTGTGGCTGCTGTAGGTACCTTGTGTGTATAATGAAAACTTCTCGTCGGCTACGCGACGACAAAATCCAACTTTTCGGATTAGAGAAAGTGCGTTAGAAGATGGACACTGGTTTCGTTCGTATTTGTCTTAACGCCGCAGCGTTTTTGGTGGGGTGTGCTTTGATCTGACTTTAGCCGCGTCGTGTCCGGACATACGTTTTCCTAAAAACAAAAGGGCGACGATCCCGTTCTCTTCCGACTCCGAGAAAGTTTATCGTTTAGATTGA